GGTTTTGGGTGGTTTACATATACCACAAACCAGCACAATAGGTAGAGGTCAGTATGTGTGAAGTGCAGAAACCACTGTAAATACCGATGGTTTCTGGGCCTCGGAGAAAGCATTGGGAAACATAAGACTGTGGACGAACAGATGGCAAGAAGGCTCGGGTGGATCATGGGGGGGGGTGTGACCATATATATATATATATACACAGGTACATACATGCATACATATACACGCAATACATACTCGTGTATGCGCACATAGGTGTTTGTGCATAGTTTCAACCTATCGCATTTTCGCGAATGTGGCGCACTCCAATGGCAGTCACAACCTTCGGAGCACAGGCTTGGGTTGAAGGTTGCCGCTGCCTTAGCGATAGAAGAGGATCTCGGTCCCGGTGCTGCTCGAAACTGAGCTTGGCTTGAAGATCTCTGGAGTTCAATCCTCAACCTCTCTGCTAGTTTTCCAGGTTTTTTTGCCCCAGATCATTGTCGACCGTGAAATCAAGACACTGAAGGCAGCATCGGCAACGAGCTTTGCAGACCCTTCTGGCGCCTCGATGTGCACCCTTCTGCCACCTGCCGTGCTGTGCACTACCGGCCTTCGTACACCTTGCAACTACACAAATTGCCAGCACTGCGCGAAACATGACTTGGCATAGGCAGCGATAGGAAGAGGAAGGGATCCTGTCATTCTTAACATAAGCATTCCACTGACATACACCGCATGACACCGCGCACCCCAAGAGCTAGGATCGTTAAGAGAGTAAACAGTCGTGGTGCACGAAGGTGATGGAGGCACAGCCACATTCGCAGCACTGAACCTGCCGAGTATCATATGAATCTCGCAACAAGTCCTAGCTTCTCTGACTTTTGTAGCTCTTCGGATGCTCTGCTGATTGCAAACCTTCACTATCGGCCTGCGACCGCAGCTGCCCTTGGCAAAGGTCAATGACGACGGAGCGGTGTTGTTGCAGGTGCAGGTACCAAGCCTGTCCCCACATGCTCCTCAGCTCGAATTGAGCTCCCTGTAGCCCCGCTGTTGCCCCGCCTGCGCAGCCAAATGCTCTTCACAGCAGGCGTCCTCACTGTGGAAGCTTTGTGGAGCCTGTGCAGCTTATCAACACTCGAGTTTGAGAGGTTCGGGCTGGCATGTGGCCTTGCACTCGGAACGTTGACCATGGTTCCGATTCAAGTCCTCTGAGAGCAGTTCTTCAATGCTCTGCATGCTCTGCTGCGAGCTGCGAATTAGAAGTCTCAGTCCTCGTGGATGGCATCAAGAAGGAAGGCCATGACCTGCAAGTCTGGGAAGCGATTCTACTCTTCGCCGCTCTGAACGTGTGCTCCTACCTCCTGGGCATCTTGCTGCACACCAGGCCTCATCCAAATCCCGTAGGCACGCGGCACCGCTTCGGATAAGCATCCAGGACATTCAATTGAAGGACTTCGCCCCGGGCTGCTCAGCCACAAGCGTGCAGTGCCTCGCTCAGCGGGATAGGACAGAAAGTCCGAGCAACTGCAATTCATGCTTCGAATCAACCGTTTCAAGCTCCCTGCTTGCAGAGCGTGCGGTAGAAGGCCTGATGCGGACATGCCCGGCAAAATTTTCAACACTTGCCTTTGTCTTTGCAACCCGATGGAAAACTCCGACCTCGGGAGAGAACGCAGAATGGGCGTGCTGTGACTTCTCGCCTGTCGGTCCTTCAGGCGGTCGCTGCAGCTCCAAGCGATTCCAAGCCCCGAGTCCTGTTCATAGCCTGAAGCTTCAGGGTGTCAGGGGCACCAACACCCAGCGACACGGCACATCATGGAGGACCCGAAATTCTGAATCATAGCTATATTCGCCCGGCAACTCTGACCCTGCCTTCCGCAACAAGCTTATGAAGCAGCTGCGCAAAAGCAGATGCCACTTCCTGGCAAGGGTCATGTGTTCTGATGTCAAGGTGATGAGTTGGAGGACCTGCTTCCCCTTGGTGCTTCACGGCGTGCAGTATCATTCTGGGGCTGTCCGACACGCGGCCGCTCGAAATTCTGTGCACAGCCTGCCCATTTGATATGCTCCGCGGATGGTGGTGTTCAGTATCACTTGTGGGCTGAAAACAACTGATCAAGACATAAACTTGGAACATGCAGTGCTCACGGGGCTTTAAAGTCGATCGCGCGTGTCACGCTTTTGAAAGGGCCTGTCGAGACCCTGCGGCTACGAAGAGGCGAATGGCTTTCATCCATCGCACACCTTCCGCACGCGTTATGCCGACCTTTCACGGAGTGCCGCATGAGATTCGTTCTTGCTTAATGAACTCCTGGTAGGTCGTAGGTAGTATGTAGTACGTAGTAAGTACTCAGTAGTAAGTGTTGAGTAGTACGTAGTACGCCGTAAATAGTTCGTTGTAAGGAGTTAGTAGCTAGTAGCAAGTAGCAAGTAGCAAGCAGTAAGTAGAGTATGAGAAATAAGGTCTAGGTAAGTGGTACGTGGTAAGTATAAGTACTTGCACATGCACTTGTGAATGCTGCTCTGTCGTCCCTGGTCTGAAGCATGGCGAGAGACAGACGACCGTTCCCGTCCGGCGACTCATAGGTCAGTGCACCATCTGTGCATCCCGACAGAAAGACAACGCCTCCCTAATAGGAAGACTGCGTCTTCAATCAGGATCGATCACATGTTGATCAAAGCTGCACAGCTATACATGGGAATCAAGGCCGCTTCACAGCGAGCTGTACGCTCAGCACAGCGGGAGGAATGTGTTTCATGGACAACAGTCTCAGATGAAGATGACAGCTCAGTAGGTGGGAATGCCAAGGCATCAACTCCGACCTCCACCAGCATCCGCTCCGCCATCCTCTCGCCGTTGCTAGGATTGACTCTCATGCCAGAGTCCGTCACCACCACTGCACAGCGCCGGAAACGTACTCGACCCTTGGAGAGCTTGCATCGAGAACGGCAGGCATCGAAAGCCGGACGTACGTACTTGTTGCAGTCGTGTGTGCAGCATGTCACTGATAAGACCGTAGCTCCCGTCAGAGGTGGTAGCAGTAGTAGTCGTCGCCGTCCTCGTCGTCGTGGTGGTGGTGATGGTGGTGGTGGTGGTGGTGGTGGTGGTGGTGGTGGCGGTGGTGGTGGTGCTGCTGGTGGTGGTGGTGGTGGTAGTAGTAGTAGTAGTAGTAGTAGTAGGCGCCCCCCCCTACCAACTACACTTGCTCTTAGCCATGTTAAGACAACATCCATTTTACTCGGTATTTACA